TAGTTCAAGAGGACGACTTCTACACAGTAGGAAAGTTTTGCGAGGCCTCCTTCCACTCCGAGATGTTCGGGGTACGGAAAGGAGCATGTAGGACGTTGTGCTACCGGTCAGTTGATCTTCTTTCGCTGTCGTCGATGGCGAGAGCTGCAGCTGTTTAGGCAGTTCCTTTGCAGATGGTTCCCTTGGCATCTACTTCGGCACCTGCAGTGCCACCTGCTACTGGACGTGTGTACACGTTGGATCGCCAGCAGTCGGATAGAGCTCCGAACCTTGTCAGAGGTACTGTGTCTTTTGGTGTTTCATCTGTTGATGTTTTGTTTGATTACGGGGCTACGCATTCTTTTATTGCAACCCCGATTGCTTTGGGGCTTGAGTTGCCCATTGCTGTGCTTTCTCCACCGTTGCGGGTGACTACCACCACCGGAGAAAAGTGTGATGCTATCACTGTACATCGAGATGTCGTGTTTCAGTGGGATGGTCGTGACTTCTCGGTAGATCTGATAGGATTGCCGATGGCTAATTTGGAAATCATCCTTGGCATGGATTGGTTGTCCAAGTACTGTGTTATGATTGATTGTTGTGCCTATCGAGTGGTGATGCCTCCGTGTGATTCCACAACCAGTTCCTCGCCTTTTATTGCTACGGGCTAGGAGAGCCTTGTAAGCAGGGACATTGGTTATGTCATGTTGGGAGGTTTGGTGAGTGGGACACAGAAGGATATCACTGGCATTCCTGTGGTGAGGGAATTTCTCGGAGTATTTCCGGAGGATATTCCTGATTTTCCGCCTCAGAGGGAGATAGACTTCTTTATTGAATCGCTGCCTGGTGTGGGGCTTGTTATTAGCTCCATACCGGATGTCGCCACCAGAGTTGGCTGAGTTGAAGTAGCGTTCTGAGGGTCTTTCGGTGAAAGACTTCATCCGACCGAGCGTGTCCCCTTGGGAAGCACCGGTTATGTTATTTTTGAGGCAAGATGCTTTACGCCATTACTTAAGTGTGATGGTGCTCTATGTGAGAATGTGAAATTCTCTTCAGAGAAACTGAGTGTGTAACACTTGGAATTTGTGGCAAAGGCCACGCGTGATCTTCGGGCACTCAGAGTGAGGAAGTTGAGCCCGCGATATATTGGGCCATATCAGATCCTTGGTAGAGTAGGACATGTTGCCTTTCCTCTGAACTTGGCCAACATCCACGACTTGTTTCACGTGTCTCATCTTTGGAAGTACATAGCAGATCTGTCGCACGTGGTGCAACCGGATGATGTGGAGGTTCGGGAGAACCTGAAGACTCCTGTCGGACCACTAAAGATTCTCGATCGTGGCGAGAAGCAGCTGAGGAGCAAGATCATTCCAATGGTTAAAGTGAAATGGACCGGAAGAACTCCTGAGGAGTGTACTTGGGAGCGAGAGGACAAGCTTCTCCGGCAGTACCCCGAGTTTCGATCAGGTATGTTTTCTGATTTTGAGGACAAAATCATAAAAAGGTGGGGTGAATGTAAGAACCTACACCGTTAAATAAGGAATTTAACTGATTAATTATGTTAAATTAGGAAATGATTCCATAATTGACCCTAATATTTATTAAGAGGCTTTAATAATTATGATAAGTGATTAAGAATGCTGAAAGTCGCTTGTCGGAAAAAAAATGCAGATACCGGTTCTGCTAGTCGGTATAAATGCGTATCGAAAAAGTATCCCTGAAAATTATAATAAGTGCATGATAATTACTAGAATAATATAGGACTTGTAAAATGAGTTTCAAGTCCAAATAATGAGAACTGGTGCCAGAAATTGATACTGGCTACGAAAAGCGCGTACCAGAAGGGTGCTCCGAAAAATATAATAAAAATATGATAATTCTTGTAAAATTGTGTAGGTTAAGAATCCAAAGTTTTGAATTAAAATGCTAAGCGTAGCAGTTAAAGTTAATACTGTGTGTTTAATGCTTAAGTGCCTATATATACCCTTATTAAGGACACAAAGCCCTAGAAAACTGACTCTATGTGTGGGTTCTTGTGGGGGCTGATCAGTTTTTCTCTGTATTGGTGCTTTCTTCCCTTTGTGTAAGCCTTGTGACCTTCTACCTCCATGATACCTCTTCCTAAACACTTGGTCTTGAGGGTGCGAGTCTTGTGAGCAGAAAAGAGTCACTTTTCTGAGTGTATAAGCTGTTGTTTGGGAGGTTCTTATTCTGAGTTTGAGAGTTTGGAGGAGAGTCATCTTGTTCTTGGTGGTTTAAAGCTCCAAGTAGCTTCCTTGGTGGGGAAAGAACTCATCTTGTTGGTCCATTTTCGTGTACCTGTAGAAACAGTACTTGGAAGGGTTGTTGGTGAGCTCCTTGAGTCATTCTTGCTGAGTTTAAGCTTGTGGTATGATCATCAACCTTGAACTTGAGTTTAAGTGTGTAAAAATGGAACCTTGATGCATGTAATGGTTAAAAGATAATAACCTAATGTTGGGTAATGCTTAACACACCTAGAAATGCATGTGTTAGTGTCTAAAATCGGTAAAAACCCAACCTTTGAAGGATATCTTCGCGAAATGCAGAAATTGCATTCTGTTGCGAAATATCCGGACATTTGCTCGTGAAATATCCGGATATTGATATCTGGTATGGGGATTTGGATATCCGAATATTGATATCCGGATATTGTATATCCGAATATGCCCCGAGGAATATCCGGATATTCTGGGATTTCGAAGAACAATAGTTGTGCTGTGTGTACAGTAGGCTATTGGGGATTTGTGGACCCTAGATTGATGAAGTTGAACTTCTGTAATTAATGAACTAAGTCAGAATCATGTGATTAAGGGCTTGTGGCTTTGTTGGAAGCCTTAAGACGTAAATCATAAAAAGAGAACGTAGTCTTTATGTTAATGCTTTTGAGCTATGTATGTTGATACACTTGCTGGTCCTAAATCAGATTGTGATTTGCTGTGTGTTGGACTTGAGCTGTGAGGACTCTTGGCATTGGATAGTGAGCTTACAAGGTAAGCTTTCGTGTTCTCGATTTAGCCATGTTGTGGTTCCACCATGTCCCATGGGGGTATGGTTATATGCATGTTGTGTTACATGCTTTTGATGTTTTGAAAATGCTATTGAGCTGTTATATGCTAGTGCCTTTATGATATGCATGTGGTGTTCCACCTATACGGTAAGCCTGAGTATGTGGTACATACAAGATGGTGAGGTTGTGGGTGAGGTGCAAGCGGTGTTCCTTGTACTACATGTAGGTATAGACGTATTCCTGCATTTCTCTGGCCAGTAGAATAGTGATAAACACACATGGCATGAATATCTGTTGCACTGAATAGTTTTGGAACTGATATTGATATAAATGCTTTTAGAACTTATAATGCACATGTAAGTGAGCTTGGGGTGGAAGATCCTTGAAGACCCCTTGTCTTACTGAGATTTCTGGTTTAGAGATCTCACCCCACGTTTGGGAAATGCTTATTTCAGGATCAGGTAATGTTGGGGTTGAGGCCCCAGGCAGCAGGAGGCTGGAGCTGAGTTAGATATTGATGATATTATATGCTGACTTGTTGGATGCTGGATATGCTTGCTGCTTATATGCTTTTAGCTTCATTTTATGATTTTGGATTATCCTGTTGAGACGCTGTTGATTTGGTAAGCATGGAGATTGTCCATGCCACGTAGACTTGTTAAGTCTTGTTTTAAGTAGAGTTGTATCAATGTATTAGGATATTGTCCGGATTACGTGATGTAATGCCTTGACTTAGATACTCACTTTATGATATATTGAGGTATTTCAGTAGATGTCTTATTGTAATTTATATTCAGGCGATATTTTATGAAATTGATTAAGTAATCAAGTTGGTAATTGATAATGACGTCATAATTGAAAAGAAAAAGAATATTCCGCATTTTTGATTAAGCGTAGCTTAATACGATGTAATGATAACACTACCAGATATATACGGGGTGTTACAAGAATATTTAATAATTTTATTGAATATATGTTTAGTTGATAATAAAATATTACTGGTAATATATGATGATTTTAATAAAGTAACCTTAACTTTTCACATATATTAATGGTAATATATTACTGGAAAACCTAAGTTTTGATGTGAGCTGAGTATTTTTGTCTCACATATTTTTTTGATGATTTCCCTTGATGTTGGATTCACAAATACCATATAATTTGTGCTAATCTGAAATCCTCGTTTTCTTTGTAAATCAGATTACTAATAAACGAAGGTTACTAGGAAAATGATTTTGTTAACTTAAACCAAACATGGCAATTCACTTTTAGCAATGCATCTTTACGCCTTTACCAGTAATATTCAGTAATCCTATTTCCCAGGGCTGCTTCAACTGCTGGCACTTCTTGTGGTATTGCAATGGAAGTACTAAAGAGTAGGCAGTTGTTGGAAGTTGGAACCCCCCCAATAAGACAAAACATTTAGAAATATGAGTCCAGAAAGAAAACAAACACGACTCAGTTCTGCCGTAGAAGTCCTGGTGTTTACTCCTTTTCCATTTTCATTTTCCTATTACCAATTAAAGACAGTATTTGGATCACAGGCTCAGGAATTTTTCTTCATGGAATTCTTTATCATCCTGTTTCTCGAGTTTGAATACTAAGAAACCTGAACCGGATTAGAAAAGCAACCGTGTTATGTATTGCATTTTGTGCTTTCAATTAAGATGGTATACGGCAACACCAGGTTTGGCAGAGAAATTTCTTTGTGCTTACTTCATGCCAATTTAAACTTTTGGTCATCTTGATGTTGAGTGAACAAACTCTTGCCAAATTAAACTTTTTGGTCATTTTGAAGTTCTGTGTAAACATTGGTTAAGCTCATATTGTGTAAACATTGGTTAAGCCGTTAAGCTCATATAGTTTACATTCATTTGGGATTTCAACTATCCAAGTTCAAGTTTTGTTGGTGAGTAACACATTAAGGCCAATGAAATTTGTCAGAAACGATGTTATTGTTTGAGATAAATTTGTGTTACACACACACACACATATATATATATATATATAAGGCAGGGTAGCCTGCAATCAACCTGCTCTTGCTTACTTGAAAATAGTAAATAATAGATTTTCTATAACACCATGTAACATTACAAGATGAAGTAACATTACATACACGGGCTTAATTTTAAAATGGCATGCCCCATATGGTCATCGCAAACTGCAAACACAAGCACCCATAATAAACTTTACTTTCTTTATATATCCCACAGAGTCACTATTGCAACTTCTGCAGGCACAAAAATTTAATATCTTGCTTCATTCTCTGGCATTTCATTCGCTAGTCGAGTATCTTGAAGTCCAATACTTCTCTATTTCTTCTGCTGTTCTTCCAGGAATTCTTCCAGGAATTCTTCCAGCAATCAAAGACCATCTAAGAATAAATATATTATTTCATAAGAATCATCTTCAAATGGTATTTAAAAAAATGGAAGTTTTGGATGAAAGTGAAAAGTGGTAAAAAGAAAAACAAAATTACCTCTCCCCAACTAGGTTATATACCATAGTAATAAGGATTTCCTCATCTTCAGAAAATTCAACCTTTGAAGCTTGGCTGGATTGCTCTGCATAACACAAGTCACTTCTCTGAATCTAAATGTAGGGTCTTATTTAATTCAAAAATAACAAAAACATTACTATATAAACAAAGAAAAGCTATCAATATCTGAAATAATGATATCAAGGTGATCTCAACAAGACAAGGGACCATAAGAATAGGATTCAGAAAGTATATACTCAAAATGTGACCATGTAATGGCATAAAAAAGACTGAAAAGTGTAGTCTCAAGTTTTTGGCGTATGATAGCAGAGCATGATTCAAGACACATCAAGAACTAATCTTAAAATCTACTTATCTATAACAAGACATGGAGGATTCTAAAAGGGTACCTGTAATATCTGCAGAAACACCATCAGAGGAGCGATCTATGTCAGCCATTGCAATAGCAAAGTTCAAAAGAGTAGTGAAGTTTTTCAGTCCTGTATATTGAGTTTGCAGAAAATAAGGAAATGATTGAGTGGTATTAATAGGAACAAGTCAATTCCTAGGACAGTGGAAGCCTACAATTGAAAAAAAAAAAAAAAAAAAAAAAAAGAGGGTGAAAGCGAAATAGAGAGAAGACTGGTAGTTGAACACATGGTTGGTAGTTGGGCACTTACGTGTTAGTTGGAGTGGAATTTTGTAGATAACAAATCTTAATGTCGGTGTTGTTGTTCATTCACACAAATATCCATGAAAAAAAAAAAAAAAAGTTGTAACTACAAATGATAACGTTGTTTAAGTAACTCCAGTCATGGATTGTGAACAAATTCATCTTCTTGTGATTTTGAATTTAATGTAACTATGTTTGGAAGGATCAGTTAGACAAAAATAATCTCAATGAATGATGGGTAGAAGTAGAAGAGCAAAAAGAGAACATTAATTTTTAGGTTGGCTAAAAAAATATGGATGATAATATATGAATATGTATTTTATAATAAAATGTAAAGCATCGCATTGAGATTTCACATAGTATGTTCTGTTTGGCGTAAATATGTTCTATTTTTTTTTTTTTTTTTGGTTAAAGCAGTAAATGTAGTTTAGCCCTTTAAAATTTCAGGCAAATTTTAATGCGAAGTAGTTGATGAGATAGGGGTAGCTGGTAGATTATGTTGTCTGTTTCTCTAATAATTGATAAAATGCCCAAATAAATAAAGGATTTCGTGGACACATTTAATGTCAAATATTGACCACAAAAAGGAAATTAATATATTAATCATGCTTCTAGAAAACCAGATAAGACCTGGACTGATACTCTCTATTTGATATATTATCTACGCCCGATTAGCTTAAAAATTTGATTAATACGTTATTATATTTTATGATTTTTTTTTAGATTGTTATGGGTTTTTTTTTTTTTTTTTTTTTTTTGGTAATCTGATTGTTATGCTTTTATTATCGTTACTAGAGAAAAATCATTATTATATTGCTTTAGAGGATGTATTCTTCTGTTTTTATTTATTTTTTAAATTTTCATTTGAGTAATTTTTCTTTAGAATAAAATTGTTAGAAAGAATGTCTTTTGTATATCTGTAAATATCTATTTTTTTTATTTTAGTAGGATTTGAGTAACGTCTGAACTAAACTCATTAATGTATCTATATATTGTACCTCTTGTATCAATTCAAGACTATTGAGTATTTTACAATTCCTTTTGTCTCTTGTTATTTAACAAAAATGAGAAAAATAATGTTGATTTTATCTGAAATTTAGTTAAATTATATTGATTTCAATTTAAAAATGTGCCTTCGTTGAATCAACTCAGACAGCACGCTTATTTTTATTAGACGTGAGAGTTCGATTCGAAATTTGAAAGAATCTAAAATCAATTTTATGGTTCAACACGGAATTAATTTGGTTGAATGTTGATAAAGTTTAGGAGCTTGGGTAAGAATTAAAAAAGACTTGGCATTTAGTTCAACGCCCTTGACTAGATTTATTATCATTTTGGATTGTATTACATTTTGATAGAATTAATTTAGAAAAAATTATTTGTATGTAAAAATAACATTATAAAAATAAATTTTAAAAAACATAATCAAACACAAATAGAATCAAACAAAATTTTGCTTTGTTTTGTTTTCTAGTGCAATGTAAGAATACATAGCGCCAGATGGTGGTGACTCATCTTTTAAAGGGATAAGAACACCGTGACACTGCCAGAACAACAGCTGCAAAGTTCTTACAAGTTACAACCTAGGATATTGCACCGATATCGATACGGGACATGGAATGTGACACGACACGATACTTCGATACGTTAATTTTAAAAAATGTTAAATTTTAACACGTTAGGACACATCTTGATATTATATAATATTTTTAATTTATGTAGTTAATATTATATTTAGTATTCAATAATTTAATAAAAAAGTAAATCTAAACATTTAATACCCATCAATTTTACAAAGAAACATAAGATATACCAAATGTTTATATTAAACTCCATAAAATCGTAAACGTAATCTGACGAATCTAATAGTTGGAACTTAAAATGCAACTCAACGTAACCCTTGAACCTTTTTTGAGTCTTTGCAACGAGTATTGGAGTGTCGAAAAGTGTCGGAGTGTCGGTGATTGTCGAGAAGTGTCAGACAAGACAGACACGTCAGAATTTTTGACGTGTCGATGCTTCGTAATTACAACCAATGGTCCCACTCAAGTCCTAGTTTATTTTTGTCAAATAAATAATTTATTTGATGCCTTTAAGCCTTGCGTCTAGAAGCAGCTTAGAAAAGTCAATAGTTTGTTGTTTTTTTTTTCAACAAAATAACATTTAATTAAAGATTTAATATTTCTTATGTAGTAGGAAATAAATTTTATCTCTTACATATAATAAATATAGAGTGAGGATATTCTAACTACCAAAAATTCTTACTACCCATCACATCATCATTGGATCAAAGAGAGAGAATGTTAAAAAGTTTTTGAAAAGAGAGAAAATGTTAATCTAATGGTGATTAGATGAGTAGTAAATTGGTAGTGAAAATTTTTGATAGTGAGAATATCTCTCCTCATAAATATATATGGAGCTCATATAAAAAGAAGAAAGAAAAAAATACGATCCTCATATATTTTTATTTATATATAAGAGATAAATTTCTCTTATATAATATAAGAAACAATAAACACTTAATTAAATCATATTCTAAAACTAAAAGTTGTTATAATAGCCTCATGAGTATCGTCTGAATTATCAAATATTGATTGATTTTGAGATATTTGTGCCCTACGGATATGTTTAAACTGAAAAAAATTAAAAGGAAATAAATCAATTTCTTAAATTATAAAATTCATGAATAAAAAAAATAACTTAAGAACTTATATAATAATATTTCATTTTATTTATTTAATTTTCAAATTTATAAAAAAAAATTACTAAATAAAAAATAATCCCTGGATTCCGTACTTGTAAGCCGGGCAAGACCATTAACTATTGAATCATGTTCATTTGATGGCATACTGCTTCTAGAAGAATATAAATAATAGTAAAATTAAAAAGTTTTGCTATAAACAATATTTAATGAGTATTGGTTCTTTACTAAATATTTATTTATTTAATTTTCAATTTTATAATAAAAAAATTACTAAATAAAAAATAATCCCTGGATTCCGTACTTGTAGGGCAACTATGAAGCATCGACATTTCAAAAAATTTGACGTGTCGTGTCCGACACTTCCTGACACTCTCCGACACTCCCCGACCCTCCAACACGTGTTATAGAAATTCAAAAGAAAGTTCAAAGGTTGCATTGCGTTGAGTTTTTAGTTCCAACTATTAGATTTATTGAATTACAATTACCATTTTATTGAGTTTAATATAAATATTTGAGATATCTTATGTTTCTTTGCAAAATTGATGAATATTTTAAGTTTAGTTTCATTTTTTTGTTAAATTATTGAATATTAAATATAGGGGCAGGTTATATTTACAAACTTTTTTGTTTACAAACTCTTACAAACTACACTATCTCCTCCCGTGAGAACACTAATTTCATTATGTTCTCCCGGGAGAACATAGTGTAATTTATTAAAAAAAATTTAAAAAATTTGTAAACGGATCCTTCTTCTTAAATATAATATACACTACATAAATTAAAAATATTATTTAATATTAAAATGTGTCCTAACGTATCGAAAATCTAACATTTTTTAAAATTAACGTATCAGAGTATCGTGTCGTGTCGTGTCACGTGTCCAGTGTCGATATCAGTGGTAAATAGCCTAGCAAAACCATTGACTATTGAATCATGTTCATTTGATGGCACAGTGCTTCTAGAAGAAAATAAATAATAGTTAAATTAAAAAGTTTTGCTATAAACAATATTTAATGAGTATAGGTTCTTTACTAAATATTTATTTAATTTTCAATTTTATAATAATAAAAATTTACTAAATAAAAAATAATCCCTGGATTCCGTACTTGTAAGCCTGGCAAGACCATTGACTATTGAATCATGTTCATTTGATGGCATAGTGCTTCTAGAAGAATATAAATAATAGTAAAATTAAAAAGTTTTGCTATAAACAATATTTAATGAGTATTGGTTCTTTACGAATCTGATTCCATCCACATTGCACAAATAGAAAAATTTGTAATACGGTCCAGGATTATCATGGTTTCTTCATTAAAAATTTGACACTTACATTAATTTTTTTTTTCTTCTCTCTCCTCTCTCCTCTCTCCTCAACTTTTTCTCTCTTTCTCTCACTTTAGTTCCACCAAACTTTTGTTGAGCACACTAACTTTGCTCCACAAATAGAAAGAAATAATAAAAAAACAATTGTTAAGATTCGAAAGAATTATTCCTTTTGATGAATACACAAAAGACCACTTATCATCAGATTTTGAAATAAAAAAATGCCTCTTTTCTGAAATAAAAAAATTTGAAAAAATGTTTTTCCCTACGAAAGCGTTAATTTTGACCAATTGGGACCTTTTTTAGAAGGGTTTACCAAAATGCTGAATATTAACTACTCCTTTAGAGTGCTACCAGCTTCTTCTTTATTTATTTTTTTTGTCACTTACACGTTATATTTGTCATCACATAGAATTACATTGTTAAAAAAGAAAATTCAGTGACATAGTATCATACTAAGTGGTGTTAGTCTATATGATCATTGGTATCGTAATAACGTAATATATGAGATCCCATGTTGGTGCCGTATAGTCACATGGACTAATGGCACCGGCGTGATGTTATCTAAAGGCAAGTCTCATGCCATTCATTTCAAACATAGGCTCTATTTGATTGTGTTCTGATTTTTTTGTTTTTAAAATTGTTTTGAAAAATAGTTATGGAAACAGTTGTTTTCTATATATATATATATATATTTTTTTTAAAGTTAAAAACTAAAACAGAAAACAAAAATAACTCAGATATATTCTCTAAATTTGATTCTAAAAACAAAAAAATAGTTATAGTTTTCAAAACATTTTTTACAAAACATGTGTTACCAAACGAGTTTTTTAATTTTTTTGTTCTGAAAACTAAAAAACTAAAAACTGTTTTTGAAAACAATAATCAAATAGAGCTGACCTGCTCGTGTTCTTGCTTTTGCGTTCTTTTATACTATGCTTTAACCTATTACAAAGTTATATTAGTTCTTTATTATGCTTGTTTCTATATTTATTTTGAGTTAATTTATTGTTTTTTCCTATTAAATGCATGATATTTGAAAGATGACAAGGCTTTGGGTTCGAAGGTGACATGAGACCAATTTAAATAAAATGTGGTATTCATTATAATCTTATGAAGAAAAAAATTATCTGATAATAATTCGTTAAACCAACCAAATTATGTCAAGCCGACATGTAGATTTTTTATAATGATACATTACAAGTATGTAATAATGAAAATGTTGAGTGCGTGATCAACGCTTTTGAGCAATCTTTTATGGCAATACTTAAGCTATATGGGAACATCGACATTATTGGTAGTTCAATGTTACTTGTGTGCTTGTGCAACATTTGTCATATGAAGGCGAAATTCCATATATGAGTTGTCTGACACTCAAGTTGATGATGATTTTGATTCTAATGTTCACTCATCTAATTTGACTTCCCCGGTTGCATCATCATTACCCATTAGCGAACATTCACAACAAACAGGATAATATCTGCACGATTTATTTGACATATAATTTAGTAATTGCATTTCATATTAGGGTGTGTGCATGTGTGAATACATACATATATATAGATGAACCACAATGAAATATGCAATTTATCTCCACATTATAAATATATGTCCGATTATGATAACGCTAATCAATAAATTTTAAAGCATTGGATGTAACATTATTTAGCTCAAATGACAGAATCATGTGAACGATTAGGACAATTTTATAAAGGTCAAACAGGCGGTTTCATGATTTTGATTTTATCTGCTCATATGTACTAAGTTTAATCCTCAACCGTATACGATTTATTTTCTCTTTTTCATTATATTTCAAGGATAATATAATAATTTGTTAACTTTAATGTGAGGCATGGTCAACTAAGAACTTTTAGTCCTGATTTCATAAATCAAAAAGGGACCGAGGACCAATTAGGATATAAAATCTCAGAGAATAATACCAACAAACCAGTCAAGAAATTTCAAGTATAATAAGGACTAAATAACTTTTCATTCTGATAATTCAATTCAAAAATTAAACTGAACACCAGAACTGTTGGTATTTAACACTATCCTTTCCAATAAATAATCACCTAGGTTGGCCTCAATCTCATATTTTCGCACACTTAATAGTTCACAAAGCACTTAAAAGTTGTGGATTTCAAAGGCCCAAAACAAAAAGCAATCAACATAAGTTACGACTTGCACATGGAGGAATAATGACAAATTTATTCAAGATAGCTCTCATAGAAGCAGACATACAATCCTTACCACATAACCCAGTAAATAACGATCCAAAACAAGTATACAGTAAATTACATAGAACACTTGGCTACAATATAACAGAATTTGCTGCGATTGACTGCTTGAATTCAGATTTATAAGCTACTGCTATTGACTGTAGTCTGCAGGCTATACATTAAACATGAAGCTAAATTTCACACTATTGGTTAGGCCTTAGAAACCATGAAGCTTGATATGTTCCTTCTTTACTATGCCAGCCTGTTTATAACAGCACAGAGGAATTTAGAAATCACATTACAATTTTATAGTAAGAACAATAGCTACATTATAACACTATCAACATAATGTTTACCTGCACAAGGAAAGTAGAAACATTCTTTCTTTGATCTCCCTGAAGCTGTATGACCTGCATCCATACAAAATTTATGTTTAGGCTTTCATTGAGAAAAAAGATGCACCCAGTGACACATCTGTTGAAAATCACAAAAAATGAGAATGTCCATGTGCTGGGGATGGGGGGCAATCCACTGGATGATAAATATCATGTTATTTCCTTTTCCTACACTCACAAATAAAATTATTAATAATACATTACTTATTGAGAACAGAACACAAACCTGGCCCAACTCAGGATCCTGGACCACAGTACCATTACAGCAAAATTCTTTCTTCAGGTCCTTGAGTATCTTGCTATAGCTGTACTCTTTCTTTAATCCTTGAACAGTTGTTAGGCTTTTCCTTCCATTACGCTGTTGTACACGCACATGAACGTACTCTTTCGTCCCAGCACCTGAGTCCTCAGCATTTGCCTCAGCAAAGGGATCTATTCAATTACCAAACCACATTCAGTAATCAATGATAAATTGTTGACAAGAAATTATTAAATGTCTTGGTTCGATCTAATTGAATTTTTGGATACCACAAAAATATATGAATACGGAGATTAGACACCCACCAAAAGTAGTTGGGATGTTTGTGTCGAATTCAGACATGAAACTTGCCCTTGGTAACTTGTAACAAACAAAGTCCTTCTGATGCAATCAACCACTAAGCACTGGAAAGAAATCAAATATATACCGAGTCAGATATGAGAAGTACGGGTACCAATTGACATTCCAAAGATGTTACTGTTATCTAAATTATACTCCCTATTTCTTTATATGTGAAAATATGAACTGAAACAGAAAAAACAGAAATTGTTCTACAAAAATAGGAAATGTCTGATGCACATGAGATTTTATTGAACAAAGGCATACACAGTGATTTAGAAACTTAGTCATCCCATTATGGGATCAAGATCCTCCGCAGTTTTAAAATTACAGCAGCCATTCATATTGATTAAAACCATATTTAACATCAATATTTTGCCATACACTAAAATATTTCAAAAGGTCAACATTTCCTGCAGTTATAATAAATAGGAACCTAATTCTCCTTTACGACATGCTTTTGTTTTTGGTCAGTCAAAAATGACACAACAATAACATGATGCCAAACAAAAAATCCAAGTTATCCTTATAGCCGTCAACGACCAACTCTTCTAAAACTTATGCTGTAAGGTGAAGGCTCATGAATGATTTCATATCTCTAACAACAGCAATTACATGAGGCCTCAGTAATATTCTTTCCAAACATCTGCCCCATATGTACACTCCTCCTCACAACTAGACCAATTGTTTTATTACACATGGACACAAAATTTGACTGCAACAATTACTTTTCCACAGCACCTTAGACTCCTCAAATTTACATGGTCTCAAACTTAGATATGCTGAGTACAAAACTATTGCATCTAAAAACACAAAATTTCCCATTTCCACCATCATCAACAGTTCAATTGTCATTAAAAGAAAATGTAGGGGCCACTAAGGGGGAGGAGGAATTATGAGATTTGCATCATATCGTGCACAGAATTTTGATTTATCCCATTTCTTGACATCAAAACACAAAGCCTACCACATACATGTTCAAATGTTGTGTCCAATAATTACGACAACCCCCTCTCCTTGTACATAATCAGTACATTCCCAAAAAATAAAAGAAAATGCATAATCTGATTCCCTCACTAGTCACCCCATCACAGTTGTTCGAATATATTCAATCACGGAAAAGTTAATTACGTTATACTATACTCAAATGGGATCTTATACGTATTTGAAACAAATCTACAAGGAATCCATGGAACTAAAGATAAACCTAACCCGCTCCTAACCCAAAAACAAAAAAGAATAAATACGGGAACGAAATAACAACGATTGAACTTTCAAATCCAACAAATTGACCACAAAGAGACACGATTCGTCAGCCATCTCATTCACCTAAAGCCTAAAGAGCATATCAGCAGAGAGAATAAACCCCCAAATGAAAATTGCACGACCATAAAATAAACGCCAAAAATAAATTGAACCCCAAATTAAAAGAAAAGAAATCATGATTCATCAAAATTCAGTAAGAGATTGAAACAGAAATTTTTCTGCAAAGTGAAAATACAAGAGAATAATGTTCAAAATCTAAAAAGCACTATTATGCTAACAATGAACGAATTGCACCCACAACATAAAAATTAATAACTGGGCATCAAAGAAAATCGTCATTCACAAGAATCGAGGGGTTAAAGTTACAATCTTTATTACGTATACCTCATTTTGAATGCAAGGAAACTCACAAAGGAAAGACCAAATAAAAAAAATAAAAAAAATACGCAGCTAAAGCAATCAAAACAAGAAATTCATAAATAAAAAAAATAAAAGAAACCGGGAGAATAGTGAAAATACCTCACACTTGGGAAGGGGGAAGAGAAAGAAGGAGAAGAACGAACAATGGATGAATGAAATGAGTCAAATGACGATGAAGTGAGAAAAATACGAACCTCAACTGGGTCAAGTTTATATATAAGGCGGTCAGAAAAGCACTCCCAACCACACAACTTCCGGCAATTCCCTTGTGTGTCTATATATATATATATATATATAGAGCTAGGATATTCATACTATTTAATTTTTCTACTGCTACTTCATTATCACTTTAATCACTATTGGATTCAAAAGTTGTTTTTCTTTTCTCTCTCTTCATTCAACTTTTTCTCTAATCCAATGGTGATTAGAATGGTAGTGAAGTGGTAGTAAAAAAATTAGGAAGTATGATTATCCTACCTCATATATATATATATATATATATATATATATATATATATATATATGAATTTGTATCTATCATGTCACATTACACAAATTTTTTTTTTCTACACGCACAATATTTTGTGGGACCTGTACTTTTTAAAGCAAAAAAAAAAATTAAGGTACGCAAAACGAATCTCTATAACATTACAGAATCACTTTTTCTACAACATAACTCTTATAAAACCCATATATATATATATATATATATGGGAGGGTTATATATATATTTTTTTTTTGATAACAGGGAGGGTTATATTTACAACCCAAATAGTTTACAAACTCTGACAACTATATTTTAACCGTTGATTTTCGTCAATCAATGGTTGTCATTTATTGTGAATTAATAATTAATTAAAAAATTTGATTTGCGAAAATCTTAACCGTTGATTGACGGAAATCAACGGTTAAGATATGGTTGTAAGAAGTTATAAACGAAAATAGGTTGTAAGTATAATCTTCCCTATATATATATATATATATATATATATATATATATATATATATATATAGGAAAAAATGCTTGTCATTTTAAATGACATAAAGTTATGTCATTTTAATAGAGAGATAGACACAAAATAATTTTTTTTATTTAAAATTTAAATTAAAAAAAACTCACTTTCTCTCTCCCATGAGTTCCATTTTTTGTGTCTATTTCTCTCCTAAAATGACATAACTTATGTCATTTAAAATGACAAACACCAAACCCATATATATATGGGTTCGTTTTTTCTGCAGTTATTGCAAATAAGTTATCTGCAGTAAGCCCAATATGACATCGTTTTGGAACGGAAATCATGGTATTTTTGTAATTTTAATTTATTTCAGAGTTATTATAGTCTTTATAATTATAATTTTCTAATCTTTCAATCCCAAAATGACGTCATTTTGGAAGTAAATGCAGATAACTTATCTAAAATAACTGCAGAAATATTTCTCTATATATATATATATATATATATATATATATATGGGCTTGATGTTTGTCATTTCAAATGACATAAGTTATGTCATTTTAGTAGAGAGATAGACATAGAAAATGGAAATCATGGGAGAGAGAAAGTGAGCGAGTTTTTTAATTTAAATTTTAAATAAAAAAATTTATTCTGTGTCTATCTCTCTCCTAAAATGACATAACTTTATGTCATTTAAAATGACAAACACTTTTCCCTATATATATGTGTGTGTGTGTGTGTGAAAAACATTTCTCAAACAGCTTGAGATAAGTTTATCTTCAGCTACCCCAAAACTACGTCGTTTTATTTATTTATTTTCTTATATTAATTGATTCACCCTTTGAATGGTTATGATTCCCTTTTTCTCTCTCTTCCTTTATCACCATTGATCCATCTTTGTACGGTTATTGTAACACCCCGTGTATACCCGGTTTGTTAACATGCCATCGTATTAAGCCACGCTTAATTAAATATGCAGAATATCTTTTTCTGTTCAATTATGACGTCATTATACTTAGCCAAGTTGATTACTTAACCATTTTCATAAAAACATCGCCTGTATGAATATTGCAAAAGACAGCTAACTGAAATACCTCATTAATTAATATCATAAATATGTCTCTAGTCACGGAACTACAACACGTAGGCCGAACCATCTAGTAGTTTATACAACACAGATAAACTTAAACAAAACGGAAATCAAAGTGGCATGGACAAACCATATGCTCCCCATATAAGGCACAAGCCCAACAGCAGTCTCAACTCAATAATCATAAATGACAGGGAACATAAACAACAACCAAGTCCACATCATGTCAGCATACAACATAATAACATGATAACAGCATAATCTAACTCAGCTCCGCCCTCCTGCCGCCAGAGGCATCAGCCCCCGAATTACCTGAACCTGAAATAAGCGTCCCCAAACGAACGTGGGGTGATATCTCTAAAGAAGAAATCTCAGTAAAACAAGGGGTCCTCAAGGATCTTTCACCCCAAGCTCACTTACATGTGCAATATAAGTTCAAAAGCAGTTTAACAATATAATTTCCAAAATAGTGAAATGCAGCATATAATCATGACATGTGTGTTAACTATTCTACTGATTAAAGAAGTGTAGGAATCCATAAACCCACACGGTACTAGCCATTCGCTGCACCCGCCCACAGGATCGCCCCCTGGCCTCCTGTAGGCGTAACACTACATACATATCATAAGCAATTGCACTTAACAGCTCCATAACATTTCAATAAAACAGTTCATGAAAACACATCATGCATACAACCATCCCCCCGTGGGAAATGGTGGAACCAAATAATGGCTAAACTGAGGACATGAAAGCTTACCTTGCAAGCTAACAATCCAATGTCAAGAGTCTCAAAGCCCAAACACAACAGTATCACAATCTGTTATGGACCAGTAATATATCAACAAACATACTCTACAAGCATACATCATAAAGACAACGCCTTTACTTTACGTTTTACGTCTTAGTTCAACTATTACAGAAGTTCAACTTCATCAATCTAGAGTCCACAAACCCCCAATAGCCTACTGCATGAACAGTGCAGCTACTGTTCTCCGAAATCCCAGAATATCCAGATATTTGTCGGGGACATATCCGGATATCCATATCCGGATATCATATCCGGATATCCATATCCGGATATTTCGCGACAGACAGCAGCTTCTGCATTCACGAAGATATCCATCCAAGGTACCATTTTTAACACTTTAAAACGTCAAAGCATGCATTTCTATGCACAATGTGCATCTTTTAGCAAATAAATTAATTTATAGTTAGGCGATGCTACCCACAACATCATTGACTAATTGAAAATTAGGAAAACTGCTGTAGTTTAGAATTAAAATAAGAGAAAGATAATATAACAACTATTCTGTCCTTGAGACAGAGATGTCCAGCCCAATAGGCTGGTAGGTTTATCTTGGATCTAGTGCCCTCTCCAAAGTATTTATTAATGAGATACCCTTGAGTCAAGCAGATTATTGTGCACAGAATACTATAACAGCGTTAGCCAATGAGGTGTGTGTGCGCACAGTGTGTAACACCCTCCCTTGTATGCATCCAAGAGAGTTGTTTGCTAAGAGGAATTAGAGTTTTTTACATCATTTTAATGTTCCTAATAAAAGCTATTAGTTGAAACCAAGTTCCTTACAAAAAATCAGAGTATATTTCTTAAGTTGCTGAAAATATTATTTTCCTGGCAGACCTTGTTGTCTTTAAAAAATCGTATAAAATCAGTTTTGATGATTCAAAAAAATATTCCATATAATCTAGAAAGAGCACGTCTGGGGCTTCGCGTGCATATAAAATAATAGTAAATCGGAGTTCGTTTGCCCCTTGTAACGTAACTCGCAAAGTGCTCGCAAAACTGTTTGAAAATCAGCACTTAATAAAACGTCAGAAATTATTTTCGCAAAACGTTTCTAGAACTTGTTTCCAAGGTACTTGCTGATCATAAAAGTCTGAAAACAGTAATAAAATCATAGTTCCACAGTAATCCAAACTTCTCAAATTAATACAGTGATCCATCAAATAAACAGCAACAACAAAAGTCCAAACAGCAGCACATAACAACAAATATCCATAAAATCTTGTCCTCAAATGCTTTTGCGTCCTCGTGCAATTTTACAAAAATTGCAGCCCCAAAGGGGTGAGAAAAATTCCAGTAGTGTGATAGCAAAACCAATAATGCAACAGTATTAAATTAAGCACACAATTATAAAACAGTCGCATCAACATTTTATTTTCCTGATAAATCTTAACATTTCATAGTGCGTATATAACGCCATCATAAAGTACGTCATAGCACCATCGTGCACGTACAACATACACAGTGGATATTCCATAATGGCTCCCTCAAAGGTGAATTACAACTGTGGCCTATGCGGACGGAACCCAAGTGTCCCATACCCTGGTATCGAAGGGATGCCTATATGATGCGTGCTCAAACGAATGCATATTTATATAGATATTATTATTAGCCAATGCAACATGAAATTTATGCACGTATGCCATGCTATGCTTTCACACGTCAACAGAAAAACGGATACGGTATGATGTAATTGTGCACGACTAAATCATCAGTATCATAACATATTCTTCAAGCTGCCATATAACAGTTTAACCTCATAACAAAATTACGATCAAGACATAGGCAGAATACTTTCATCATAAATGGCAGAAGAATTGTTAGGCACATGTGGCAACATGTCACAATTTTATACACTAGTTAATAGTCATATTAGGTAATACCACCTAACACTTACCTCGCTCGTCACAAAATAAGTTACCAGGCAGCAACTAAGATGGTCCAAAGTCTCACAAAATATGCGCACCTAAACAGAGGCATTATTAATCAGAATCGTTTGCTGCATAAAGACTTATACACAGTAACGTTTTTACTCCTTTCTACCCCAAAACCCAATTGGTTTTCCAAGGCTCTTTTACCAACAACATTCTAATTTCAATAACAATTTTCTAACGTTGAACAATGACTTAATCAACCCAAACAGAATCGGTTTTTAGCACATAAAGGATCCTCACGAATAAATTATGCAATTTTTACTTTGCTACTCAAATGTGCGCAAAGAGAACCTATTACCATGCTGTCTATATAAATTAATTGAGACTTAGTACACATCTGGGCTCAAAACAGAATTTGTTTTAAGTATATATTGGCTCAAGACATTTATTCGAAATTTTGTTCGACAAGACCAAGTGTACGTGGAGGAAACCTAAGCTTATACTATGCACTTAAT